AGAGAGAGAGAGAGAGAGAGAGAGAGAGAGAGAGAGAGAGAGAGAGAGAGAGAGAGAGAGAGAAAAAAAACAGACAGACAAACAGAAAGGAGGGGGAGGACAGACATACAAACAGTATCATGGGAGGGGTAGGAGGAGGGGTAAGAGGAGGAGGAGGAAGGGTAGGAGGAGGGGTAGGAGGAGGAGGAGGAGACAAATAGACAGACAGACAGACAGTATGACGGGCGGAGGACAGACAGATAGACAAACAGATAGACAGACAGATAGACAAACACGAGGGGGAGGATAGACAGACAGACAGTACCACGAGAGGGATAGGAGGGGTAGGAGGAGGAGGAGGAGACAGACAGACAGACAGACAGACAGACAGACAGACAAACAGACAGACAGACAGACAGACAGACAGACAATCAGACAGACAGACAGACAGACAGACAAACAAACAGACATACATACAGACATACAGAAAGACAGACAAACAGACAGACAAACAAACAGACAGACAGACAGACAGGAGGGGGAGGACAGACAGACAAACAAACAGACAGACAGAAAGGAGGGGGAGAACAAATAGACAGAGTACCACGGGAGGGGTAGGAGGAGGAGGAGGACGAAGATCATGATTGGGGGGAGGAGGACGAGATGTGTCACTAAATACTGACTATATATATTATATATACATTATATATATGTGTAAAAAAAAAAAAAAAAAAAAAAAACCGCGTACGCGTATGCTGGTTTTTGGGCACGTACGCATATATGGTGCTACCCAGGTTCTTCGTTAATTAGCGTGAGGGCAGCTACTCCACCTGCTGGGAAGTTCGCTTTGATGAACTTTAATATTTCTAAGTTTATCCAAGATTCACCTGCCACCCCCCCTGCTAAAAAGAAAACAGACAGAAACTGAGGAATTGTGCCATGGAATGTTACTTCCCGATACATAGCCCCCTGAGGCTCTACAATCTCATTTGCCAGTTCCCTTCTTTGCGTCTAACAAGGAGTACCTTGTGTATCTTTTTAACGGGGAAGGGGGGGATTAAACTCTTGTTGAATCCCGTTAAAACCAAAAAATCACGTTGAACTTTCGTTAAACGCGTAAATAGGCCGCTTCCACGCTTTTAGAAAAAACTGAAACGATACGCGAGTTCCGGAACATGTGGCCCTAGGCACCTGCACACTCAACCGCCCCCCGTAAAAAAAAAAAAAAAAAAAATCATTCTCCTAACCCCTGAAGCGCCTCTTATACAACTTTATGAGACCAACACCGACCGACCTGCCATGCACCACTGACCAACCCCTCGGCACTAGTCCCCAAACCTACCCCAAAGCCCTCTAGACCATCCGCCCCCACATACCCCAGCCCCCAAGGCCCCCAGTTGTGTGCGTGCAGGTGTATTGTGTGTGCGCGTATGTGTGTATGTGTGTGCTTGTGTGTGAGAGTGTATCTCTGCATGAATAGGTATGTATGCGCATGTGTTTGTGTGAATTTGTGTTTGTAAATGTGTGTAACTGTGTGTGTGTGTGTGGGTGGGTGGGTGTGTGTGCATGTGTTTGTGTATGTGAGTGTGTGTTTGTGTATGTTGTGTGTTTGTGTGTGTGTGAGTGTCTGTTTTTTTTTTTTTTTTTTTGACGTTTTTTTAAAATATATGAAGTTAAAAAAAAACAAAAAAAAGTTGTTTTACATCTTTGAAATATCTATAACCTCATGTTTTTTTATTTGTTTTCTGCCTTTTTTCTGAGCCACCCAAAAATCTTTGTGAAAAATAAAAATAAAATTAATTTCAACATAGGATCCGTGAAAACCCCCCTAAAAAAAATGTTGGGTTTGAACAATATCTACGTAGGATTTTGTGTGTATGTTTTTTATGTCTTCTGTAGGAACAAGATCCTTTTCAACGTAAAAAAAACAAAAAAAAAAATGTGTTTGTGTATGAGATTTAATGAAAGTGGCGAGGAAAAAATCAGGTTTTTCCACAATAAATGATTACTAGGCGACGTATTATATATTTAAAAATTTAAATATATATATTTTTATTATCTCAAAAGATCATGTGTATAATCTATGAGCAAACGTCCTCTTTTTTAATGTTTGTTTTACTTATAAAAAATCGGTTTTTTATTTTTAACTTACGTTTGACTAAGAATTTGAAGCTGTCCCCGAGACAAAAGTTGTTTGTGCTATTATTTTACATAAGATATATTTTTTGGCAAGGATTTTGTTGTTAACTTCAAAATAGCTTTATAGAGTCTATAAAATGTAGGAAACAGTATATAGCCCTATATGCCAGAATTCACTAAACCTGTTTTTTTACGACTTTCGAGTTTATTTCGTTGGAGCTCTGATTTTTTGCCAATTAATTGAGAATGACTTATAGTCCTAAAACAAGATCTTTGCAAGTAAAAGTTTTCCTCCATATTTTGAGGATTGCTCGACTATTTGCCTGATTTTTTGCTTTGTCTTTTGGAAAGTGGTTGAAAATGTATTTTTTTTTAAAACCAGAAATAGAAGTTGAGTTCTAATTTTTCACTCTATAAGAAATGTTGGGTTTTGTGGTTTTGTATGGTTTTCACGAATCCTTTGTGTGTGTGTGTGTGTGTGTATGTGTGTGTGTTTTTTTTTTTTTTTTTTTTTTTTTTTTTTCATTGTGTGTATGTTATTGACTATTTAAAATAAGGTAAAAGCTCCAATAAAAAAAACTAAAAATATAAGATTGGAGACCTAAAAAATATCTACAACCCCATATGTTTTCTTTTTCTTTTGATACTTCTTAGCCCTTAAAAAAAAATCATCACGAGTCCCGGTAAAACTCGCTGCTTCGACGTTTAAACGCCGAATCAACGAAATTTAATGGTCGTTGAATCATTCAACGCGGAACCCACCTTGAATCCAATTTTGGACACACACGGAGTACCACAACGCCAATTTTTCATAGGGAAATATCCTCTTGGCCTTGAAGCAGTCGATATTTCAACTTTTGTCTCTTGCACGTGAGAGTCATTTCCTGCAGTCTTAGGAACTGTTTTTCCTCCTCCTGTTGACCCTTAGTTTCTTCTTCTTTCTTCTCCAAATCATCAGTGAGGACTATTTCCTTCTTGGGGCCTTAAAACGGTTCCTTTGTGCGTTGACAAGAGTGTAAACCATTCTCCCTGGAGTGACTTTTACCCAATGCATGAGGTGTTGTTCTTGATAATTATTTCCTTGCCCTGAAAGAGACAAATATTTTATTCCCCAGTAATTTCATGTACCATTTCTTTAAACTCGTGGGATCATTCTTACTAACTTGAGGTTGCAGTTTGGGAGGGCTCTCCTCCTCATAGGCAGAGGAGGAGACTCTATTTTGTTCAATCCCAAGGACTCCATTATCCCCTCTAAGGTATGGTACAAGCCTCCCAAAGCTACCTCCGATAACATCCTGCAACGCCGCCATGCCTTGGTAGTGCTATCCTTCATCGCAAACGACGCAAAAATTGTAAGAAAACGTGGGGAGGAGATGCCTACTGTTCACTGCAGCCTAGGGCAACAACGTTTGTCACTCGTTGCGCCCGCTTCAAAGGTCCTTAGGGCCCAGCAGGGTGTTGGGGTTTATTTTGTCTGTCACAACCCCGCTTGAAGAGGTGAGTTTGATGCCCTTTAGCACATATCAAAACGGTGCAAAAATTAAACAAAAACACAAGAAGGAGATCTGGCGCGCAGACCAAAGATCTGGCGAAAATTTATCGACTTTTTTCTACAGATACTCATATTTACGAGGGGAAAAAAAAAAAATTGCCTTATACAAGTGTAGAGGAAATTACCCCAATCAGAAAGGATTACATCCACTTCACTTCACAGGCAGGCCTTGTATCAGGAATACTTGGGAGAGAAAGGTCAGACACACACAGTTCCAAACAGATAGGCTTTTATTTTGATCCCTAAGGGTATGAGAAAAATTAAGTGTAAAACCACGGGTCATTGTACTTTTGATATTCAACGCTGCTTCGGAGAGACCAATGAGTCACAGGTGTGAAACATGGGACTTCCAAGTTCGAATTCGAACCAGTTCAGCATTTCAGACAAGTCGACTCACTCGGAACCGCCGTTTTCACATTCGGGGAAATAACAGTCCCACAGTACTCAACATGCAGCATTCATGACTTCTCAACCCAGTGTTCTCAAGGGGACATACTAGGCTGCAGAGTGTCAAAAGTGAATAATTAAATAAATTCAGTGATTGTTAATTACCTAGGATAATCCATGTCGTGAAACCCCTCTTTTTTTCATACATTGGCGATCCCAAACTCGATTCATGTCACCCATTTGATTTCGTATCATGATTAAGTGTGATTGTCCGGATAGCATTTTAAACCCGAAAAGTAAAATTTCATCAACCCTAAAAAAAACAGCTATACCAGTTGATATGTGAGTCTCAAAGAGTTGCAGGGGAGTCCAACATTATCTTAAATCGTCAGCTTGAATCGGTTTGGTAGAGATAGCGATTGAACAACTGTCGAAGATACCATTTTCACCACTCCAAATTCTCTTTCTTTCTCTCTCATGCTCTGTTCCACTGACACACGCATATCCAACTCCCACACATTCTCTTTTTCTCTCTCTCTTACACGGTCTCACACTTTGCCCCACATGTGGCCATAACTTTTTGGTTCCCACTCAACGAACGGGATTGCCCAAGGTTTCTCATTAATACTCTTGACTCATCTGGCTGTTAGCGCCAAGTGTGCGAGAATAGCGGTGTGATTGATGCCCTTCTCTCTCTATAAATAATTATATGTATATAAATATTTCCCCTCTGCTACACCTGCACACCACTCACATGATCGTGGATGCATCTTCAACCATACCAGCGAAGATTTCACCAACATTTTCTTAAGGTTTGATAATGAAGAGGGTGGGACAGGTTTTCCTATCTTCATGATATGAGTTAGAGTCCTTAAAGTTCTCTTCCTCCAGGGGTGCAGGGGTGGCGGGGTGGGGCGGTTAACCGACCCATGTGTGAGCTCTTCCTCCAGGGGTGCAAGGGTGGCGAGGGTGGGTCGGTTAACCTTCTCTCTAACCTTCTCTTTTCCCTCTGAGAGAAGGTTAACTTACCCACGTGTGAGCTCCGATTAAATTTAGGCTTTGTCCCTTTCATGTGCTAGTCTTCATTGAATTCAATGAACAAGCACGATTAGACTCATACGTACATCGCTACTTGATTTGGAGTTGTGTGATGATGCACATTTAATTAGCCCCTTTTTGAGAGAGAGTTCTGAACCAGTTTCGTATGGATGATGACGATGGGGTTGGACTCAGAGTAGCACCCTCTGGTGTCGAATGTTCAGCGAGACTGCAGTTAGATACATCGTCATACCCTGTAGAGAGAAGGTTAACTGACCCCCAATTTTCACCCCCGGCCAGGGGATCCCTAGCCCCC